AGAGAGAGAGAGAGAGAGAGAGAGAGAGAGAGAGAGAGAGAGAGAGAGATTGCATTGGGCAGTTGCCTACACCATGAATGCATCACCCATCATATTTGTTTTTGCGAGCGAAGCTGCAATAGGTCATTTAGTACTGTTATTATAGGCACTCGCGATCTTAGGCAAGTTCTCATCCCAATCTATCTGATCAGGTCGGACATACATTCGCAAAAGTTGTTGGCAAAGATGGTTCATTTGCTCAGTTTGGTCATTCGTTTCAGGATGTTTGCCTGACGACATGGTCAACCTGGTCCCATAGACTTCCATCAACTTCTGCCATTGTAGACTAGTGAACCGAACATCCCTATCAGAGACGATGGTTTTCGGGAATCCATACTCAGAGACCCATCACATCTGAAATTTTTGGACGACCAGTTCAGTTCTGGCTTCGGCAGGCAAAGGAATGAACATAGCATACTTTGAGAATCTATCTACGATAACCATTACCTGACTGTTGCCATTTCGACTCTTAGTGAGGCTCATAAAGTCTATAGAGATAGACTCACCTGACTCACTTGGAATAGGTAGTGGTCTTAGCAGTCGCAACAAATTTTCATGTGAAGGCTTGTTCCTCTGAAAAAACAAGACAAGTCCGCACATAGGTTAGTACATCTTCCTTCATTCCTTTTCATTCAAAGCGTTCTCATACATCGACATACGTCTTCTTAAGACCAAAGTGACCTTCCGCATCGTGGCATTCCGCAATGATTACACACTTGATTGGTTCTTGGTGAGGAATACGTTTGATCTAGATAGAATAATAAGTCATCAATCATTCGATATTCAGGGAACAATTCAGGGTTCTTTCGTAAAGTCTCAATGATAGGACTCCAAATAGGATCACTCCCATAACCCTTTCGGATCTGTTCCTTTAATTCGTTCCCAATATCGAGATAGGAGGATTGTTCGAAAGAAGTCTGTACGCCCGGACAAGGCATCCGCAACCACGTTAGACTTACCTTTGATTGTTTTCAACTCAAAGTCAAAGGTATCAATGAAAGCGGACCATCTTACCAGCTCGTCATAGAGTATAGGCTGAGTCTTGATCCACTTCAAAGTAGAGTGATCGAAATAGAGAGTGAAGTGCCTTCCTAACAAGTAGTGTTTCCAGGTATCTAGTGCAGCAACTAAGGCATACAATTCCTTTTCATAGGTGGAGTTGGTCACTTTCTCTGACGGAAGTCTCTTGGACATAAACTCAATTGGTCTATATCCCTTACCGTCGTTCTGCTATAGCACAGCCCCAATCCCATTCTGACTTGCGTCAATCGTGACGATGAAAGGAAGAGAAGGGTCAACAATCTTTAAGACGGGGTAGTGAGTCAGAACATAACTTTCTGAAAGATGACTCACAATCTTTATCCCACAACCAAGGCTTTTCCTTCTTCAGAAGTCCTCTCATAGGAGCAACTATCAAGGAAAAGTTTTTGACGATCTTCCTATAATAACTAGCAAGTCCTAGAAAAGATCTCAACTCAGTTATAGTCTTAGGTTGGGGCCAGTTTCGAATTGTTGTTATCTTTTTTTCTTCAGGCCTTAGTCCTTCCTCGTTCACTATATGCCCCAAGTAAAGTACTTCAGGCTTTTAGCGAATCGAGACTTTTTAGGATTCATTTTGAAGTTGCCCTCGCGCAACTTCTACAAAACATACTTGTTGCGCATGTCGTGCGCGGCGTCGCGGCAGGTGCGACGCACAGCGCACCGCGCAGCTGGCGCGCGCACGACATGCGCCGCACAGGGAAAATGAGGGGTCGCGGAAATTTTTTTTTTTTTTGGGGGGGGGAATTAGGCCCGGGGGGCTGCCGGGGGAAAATGGTCGTTTGGGCACGCAAAATTTTTTTCGGGCCACGCGCGGGCCCGTAAAACAATTTGGGGGGAGATCTGAGTAGTTCGTTTTCGAACTACTCAGACCTCCCCAGCGGGGTTCAGGCCAACCCCACGCCTCAGTTGGGCACCCCGGTAGTCGGCCTGCCCGCCCGTTGTTGTTGCTGTCCTTCGGCGGCGGCCTATTCTTCGTTGTCGTCGTCGGACCAGCCCTTCGGCAGCACCTTCAGCCATAGCTCGAGGAGGAAACAGGAGGCAGCAGGAGGCAGCAGCAGGCAGCAGGAGGCAGCTCGAGCAGGCAGTGGGAGCGACGAGGCGTCCGTTCAGGTGGGCTGCCACCAGCTCTCTCTCTCTCTCTCTCTCTCTCTCTCTCTCTCTCTCTCTCTCTCGCTCTCGCTCTTCCCTCCTCCTCCTCTCTCTCTCCCTCTTTCTCTGTCTCTCTCCCCACCATCCAATCAACTGTTTTTTTTTTTTTTTTTTTTTGTCACGTTAGCGACAGGGCCATTCGCTCCACGCGAGACCGTAGTGGGAGCGACGAAGCCGTAGTGGGAGCGACGAAGCCACCAGCTCTCTCTCTCTCTCTCTCTGACACACACACACACACACACACACACACACACACAGGCGACACCATCTCGTCTCTCTCTCTCTCTCTCTCTCTCTCCTCCCTCCTCCCTCCACCATCCAATCACTTTTTTTTTTTTTTTTTTTTTTTTCGGTAGCCACAGGGCCATTTGCTCCGCGCGACACCAGCGTCCGTCCCTCCTCCTTCGTCCCTTTCTCTTCCCTCCTCTCTCCCTTCTTTTTCGTCCATCTCTCCCTCCTCCTCCTTCCCTCAGTCTTCGTTCGTTCATCTTCCCCTCCTCCCTCCTCCATTTCTCCCACCTCCTTTCTTCCTCCTTACTCCACCCTCCTTTTCTCCTTCTTCCTCCATCTCTCCCACCTCCTTTCTTCCTCCTTTCTCCACCCTCCTTCCCTCCTCCTGTGTGTGTGTGTGTGTGTGTGTGTGTGTGTGTGTGTGTGTGTGTGTGTGTGTGAGAGAGAGAGAGAGAGAGAGATGGAAGCCCTGCTTTCTGCTCAAATTGTCGGGGGGAGCACAGAAGGGCACTGTTTTGGCTACGCAACTCGCAATGCAGCATGGGGAGCACAGAAAAAAAAAATAAAAATGCGGCGCATCTGCGCACCACCCAGGGGAACAGGCCGCAGTTGCACGCGCACCGGCGCACGGCGCATACGGAAGTGCGCATGGCGCATGGCGCATACAGATGCGCGATGCGCGAGATGCGCGTGCATCTGCCCCGCGCGCATGGCGCACCGCGCATGCGCAGCGCATGGCGTAGCGCATACATGCGCCGCAAGTATGCTACAAAACCATTCGTAGATGTTTCTCGTGATCGTCTAGTATCTTACTAGAATGTCATCGAGATAGATTACTACGAACTGATCAAGCCATTGACGGCTCAGATAGACGCTCCGTGGAGTGTCGTGGGGTACTACTGGGAGTCAAGTGGCGTGGGCTCAGATAAACGCGCAACAGAGTGCTGTGTAACTACTTTTTGGTGGCGGCGCGCACGTTTTTGTGGCGGCACGGGCAAATTCCACGGCGTGGGAAAGATCGACCCCTACGCTACTCTTCGACCCCTACGCTACTTCACTCTACATTGCTGCGCTCGACTTCGACTTCACTGCTCGACTCTACACTACCACGCTCGACTGCCACTTCACTTGTCTGGCGCACACACACACACACACACACACGAGACATGGTGAACCCTTATCCAACAGCCAAATTCATCCCGGGCAGACTGTCGGGGTTCACCCTCCTGATGAGTCGGTGGAAGTCCGACGAAACAGTCTGGCTTAATTGTGTTTTCTTTATGGAGTTGTGTATAGTGAACATGACGACACACACACATACACAAACACACCATAGAGAGAGAGAGAGAGAGAG